TTGGTCCCGTGACCATCGCCTCCACCTTCCTCCCCCGCGGCCGCCCATCGGCACTGCACTGTCTCCGCCTGTTGTGAGTGGGACCGGCGCGGATCTTACATAGGAGTGAGATCGTGCAATGTTAAGGGTCTTGGCGGGGCCGGATGGCAGGGGCAATATATGTAAACCCTAACAATATTTGTACCCCATAATATGATAAAATAAATGGGAAAATGTAAGGCTGGTGGCGGCCCCCCTCCCTTCCCTAGATGAAAAAGAAAGGCTCATGAACCACACCTGCCAGGACAAAACTGCCAGGCCCTGCTGAGAGGAACCACACCCAGATGTCACCTGGATAAGAACCTTTTGGCTCTTGGATTCACAAATACCTCCAGCCCTCCTAAAACCACTCCTCCCCAAAAAGTCCTAGCCAGGCCCAAAGGAAATAAAAGCCCTCAGCCCTTTCAAAGGGCAGCACTTCCGGGGCCCCCTCTCTTGGGCCCCAGAACTCGCCCATAGTGTATAACAAAGCCACGTGGTTTGGCCCCCACTCTTTCTTGAGTCTGTCTTTTTCTTTTCGCCGCGGCCAAAAACCTTACAGAAAAAAGGGGGGGATCTTGACGTGGGGAGAGTAGCCTGGAGTATCCAGGCGGGCCGATGAGATCACAGGGGTTCTTACAAGAGGAAGAGGAGAGGGTCAGAGTGAGGCAGGGAGACGGAATGACAGAAGCAGAGGAAAGAAAGGGGCATCGTGTAGGGCTGAGGAATTTGTAGGACAGAGGAAGGCAGAGGAATTCCAATGTCGGGAATTTTACTTTGGTGGGGCAATGGGCTAACCCGCAAACCTTTGCTTCTGGTCATTGCTTGCTTGTACACGGCTGTAGGGGGAATATGGGATGAGGTCATTGAAGCACGGGCGACTGGCATCCAAGGCAAGAGAGGGCCAACAACCCGCCAATTTATTCAAAAGGCAATAGTGGGCACCAATCATTTAAAGGTCAACGCATGATCCATGCGTAGTCGGCTGTGTGCACTTGTGCACCATGGGATAAAGGCATGCCGTGTTTCCGGTCGGGTCCTTGCCTGCAGAGTGGCACTGCGTTGGCGCTCGGGGCTTGACCCTGGCTAGCCAGAAAATAAACCCCTCTCTTGTGGTGATTGCATCCCTCATTGTCTCTGCTTTCTGTCCGGTGGGGCTGGGAAGGTCGGTCCCTCACATTGGAGCTGCTGTGCGCGGCCCTGCGCTTGGGGAAGGGGCCCTGAGCCCGGGAGCGCAGGCAGCTGTAGACACGGAGAAGACAAGGAAACAGGTCCCCCCTCGGAGCCTCCCGAAGGACACAGCCTGGTGACCCCTTAACTTAGCTTCGTGAGACCCATTTGGGACTTTCTGACCTTCAGGACTGTCAAATGATAAATTTTGAGTTGTTTAAGCCACTAAGTTTGTGGTAGTTTTGTTAACAGCAAAAGGAAACTAATATGCAAACCTCTGGGGACAATTCTATCAATGATTTACATTAGAATGGTCTGAAGGTTTGTGTCCCTGGCCCCAAATACACACGATGAAATCCTAAGCCCCAAGATGATGGTATGAGTGGCAGGGCCTTTGGACAGCGGTTAGACCAGGAGGGGGACCCTCGCAAATGCGATTCGTGGCCTTACAGAAGAGGCCTGAGAAGAGCTCGCCGCCCTCCCCACAGGAGGACACAGTTAGAAAGTGCCGTCAAGGGACCAGAAAGCAGCCCTCACCAGACGCAAAACCTGCTGGAGCATCGATCTTGAACTTCCAGAACTGTGAGAAAAAAAGTTTCTGCTGTTTATAAGCCACCCAGTCTGTGGCATTTCGTTATAGCAGCCAGAATGGACTAAGACGTAAGGCAAGGTTGCAAATGGCTTTTGCTTCCAACTCTTAATAATGTGCTGAACGTATTAATCTAACAATCGGGAACAGAAGCAGAGGCCCTTGCTGTGTGAAACTGTGGCTCAAAGTGCAGATCTTCCCATCCCTGTTCAGCAGATGCGGGCCCGTGTCCAGCCCGCTCTGGCCCCGGGAGGCCCCTGGGAGGGCTGTGTGAGCCTGTCCATGGTGGTGGGTGTCGTACGCAGACCTGAGAGGGCTGGAATCCTCCGGAGACCCACCGAGCTGGAAGGAGGAGAGGGCTCTCCTTTGCTCAGTATGTTCTGCCCTGAGAAAGGATGGAGACATCTGGGGGAATTCTCGCAGGACACCCTTTTACTGCGAGGGCCACAGAACCCCTTCTCCAGACCACCCCAGTGGACGGGCACGCGCAGCTCTCCCTGAAGACAGAAACGGAGCTGCCTCTTCCCTCCGACTTGCAGCCCCTGCTGCAGTGGCTGGGACTAGAAGAATATCCCGGTTCTAGCACCATGGCCTCTGCAAACAGGCACAGCTTTGTTTCTTGTTATTTAAAATGGCCGGGCGCGGTGGCTCACACCTGTAATCCTAGCACTCTGGGAGGCTGAGGCAGGAGGATCATTTGAGCTCAGGGGTTTGAGACCAGCCTAAGCAAGAGCGAGACCCTATCTCTACTAAAAAAAATAGAAAGAAATTACCTGGACAACTAAAAATATATGTAAAAAATTAGCCGGGCATGGTGGCGCATGCCTGTAGTCCCAGCTACTCGGGAGGCTGAGGCAGAAGGATCGCTTGAGCCCGGGAGTCTGAGGTTGCTGTGAGCTAGGCTGACGCCACGGCACTCACTCTATCCCGGGCAACAGAGTGAGACTCTGTCTCAAAAAATAAAATAAAATGTGGGCAAGGTCAGAGGGGATTACAAAGGGCTGGGTGCTGGCCTGGCGGAACCACACCGGGGCTGAGGTCCTGTCCATGCTCCGCTCACAAAGCTCCGTCCCGACAGGACTGTGCCGGCCGCAGGGAAAGTGCCACGTTCCTGCTTCTGCAGTCCATACCGAGGCGCCCCCTGGCAGCCAGCGTGTGTCCTCCCCCCACAGCCGCTGCCTGGGCCTCGGCCTGCAGAGGAGGTCCTCAAACCCGCCTTGCCTGCAGAGGAGGTCCTCAAACCCGCCTTCCCTGCGGGCAACCCACGGCGGGCTCTCTTCTCCTCTCGCGCCTGCTCTGAGCTCGGCCCTTTGCTCGCTTCACAGCGCGAGCACGATTTGCCGTCGTCAGCGCTTGGCCACTGGTTTGCTCTCCACGGTCTGCCCTCCCGCTGGAGTGGGCGCCGCTGTGCAGGCCGGCTCCGGTCTGTCCACCCTGCGTTGTCGCCAGAGCGCCTGCCACATCCCAGGGGCTCGGTAAGTGGCCAGCGAACGAATGCCCGGACAGACGATGAAGGGCCCAGGGCACAAAGGCCGGTGACTGCCCTGCGTAGAGTGGCTTCCCACCGTCCCAAGACTCGGGCCCCGTGGGGGGGGGACGTCAGTCCTGCGTGGAGAGTGGCCTCCCCACCTGGCGTGGGCTGAGGCCAGTGTGATCCCTGCCTGTGCAGAGAATTGGACCTTGTCCCAGGAGAGGCCTGGCCTTTGCCCTCAGCTCCCGGAAGGCAATCATGCCCGGTGGGAGTGTATTTAGGGCCGAGGCTGGCCACACCAGAGAAACTAACAGTGTCCCTTAGGGTGGGGGCTGGCCCCCCGGGGTGAACTAATACGCGGTTCAGGGTGCGGGCTGTGAGCACGGCGTGACAGGCCTGGAGGCTGGTGTCAGCCACGTGGGCCCCAATAAGAACTCCACGCAGTGAGGCTCCAGTGAGCTTTCCTGGTTGCCACACATCCCTGCTGGGAGGAGTTCATGCCACCCCTGACGCCCGTGGAGAGGACAGGGGGAAGCTCGGCACCTGGGACCCGCCTAGACCCTGCCCCGCGCAGCTCCTCCCTTGGCTGATTTTAACCGACATCCTTGCCCGGTCGTAAACTGCGACTGTGAGTAGGACAGCCGTCTCAGGGGATTCTGTGAGTCTGTCCAGTGAATTGTCAAATGTGTGAAAGTGTCAGAATGAAAATGGAGTCGCTTGTGTTAAAAAAAAAAAACAAAAAAACTGACATTTGGAACTCAAGAAGGCGGTGCACCTGTGTCTCATAGCAAGAACTATCACAAAAGACGACAAATCCACAGCCTCACGTAAAGCCCATCACGGCCTTACCCAAGAAGCACTTCTGCGAGGACGTCTGCCCAGAAACTGCCCGTCCAGCTGTGCACGGGGCCACCCTTGTCGTTGATTCTTGCAGCCAAGGATCATCATCTCAAAGCAATTATACAGTCCTCCTCATTTCTCCTGTGAAAACTTTTGTCTTCCCAGGCCGGGCGCGGTGGCTCATGCCTGTAATCCCAGCACTCTGGGAGGCCGAGGCGAGAGGATCACCTGAGCCCAGGAGTTTGAGGTTGCTGTGAGCTGTGTTGACGCCACGGCACTCACTCTAGCCCAGGCAACAGATTGAGACTCTGTCTCAAATAAATAAACACATAAGTAAGTAAATGAAAGCTTCTGTCTTCCTTTACCTCCCTTAATACACATATTGCAATGCCCTATCCCCAAATCAACATCATTCTCTTTTAGAGAGCCTCACTCTGTTTGTCACTGGGTTGCAAAGGTAAGGGGTCATGTCCTGGGTGTGCCCGTCTGACTTGCCCGCTGGAGCGCGTGCTGCGGCAGGGCAGGGACCGGCTCTGCTCGTCCACCCTGTGTCCTCCCCAGGCGCTGAGTGAACAGCGAGTAAATGGATAACTGAGGGGACGACGAGCGACCAGGGCATAAAGGCAGGTGACTGATGTGGGGTCGGCCACCTAACCTGCAGTTGGGGTGAGCGGTGGTGGTGGCCTTGTGGGCTGTTCCCTAACTTCACTGCTGGTGTCAGCGCTGGGGGCGGGCTTGTGGGGTGCGCACCCCCCCAAGGTGGCACTGCCCCCCAGTGGACACGCGCGCACACACATACACACGCAGTCTGCATGTCCTCTGAGCAGGAAGGATGTCTCCTGGTTTCTCAGGGCTGACTGAGGTCTGGGTGCAGACCAGCACCTGGCACTGCCCACTGGCTCTTACCCCTCGAAGGCTTCCTCCGGGAGCTGGGGGGTCCTCGCTTCCTCAGTGCCCCCCAACAAAGCCTCCTCCTCTGTCCTGGCTGGAGTGAAGGACTCTCTCTCTGACATGGGCAGGGACAGGTTGACAGGCAACAAATCTGTAGCCAAGTTGGCAACTGGGGGCTGTGTCCCCAGCCCATCCTCTCGAGCCCGGCACCCCTCAGCCCCCCACGCCCCATGACCTGCTCTGGCCTTTTCTGCTGGAGAGAGACGGCAGAGGGAGCGGGGTGGCCTGAGCATCAGGGTTTTCCCAGAACTGTCGTAGCGTTCCTAAAACACGTGAGGTCCCTCCTTCCTCTAATGCCACCATCTCACCCGCCCTGCCAGAGCCGGCATGGTCAGCAGCAGCCTCAGATGCCTTTGGAAGTTCGTAAGTTTCAGGTTCAAATCTAAACTTAGCAGCCTGCTGCCCTGAGGTTACAAAACAAGTTCTTCCATGACTCTTACGTAAGGAGATTAAGCCTCTATGCCTTGCCCACCCCTCCCCAGCCCTACCCCACCCCTGGGGAAATGCTGGCTGCTCTTAAGTGTGCTAGAGACCCCTTCCGCCCAGCCGCCAACCCCTTCTCTCCCTGAGCCCCAAACACAAACCTCCCAACTCTGCACACAGCAAACCTGAAGAGGGAGAGAACCCAGCTTTGCTTCCTCCCTGCCTGGTGTGGCGTAAGTGTCACCCTGCCCCGCCACAGGGGCTGGACCACATGACCTCTCCATGACCCTCGAAAGATAAGTGAGCATGCCTCATTTTTCAGGGATTATGGAAAAGGTTTCTTTTTTCTTTCTTTTTTTTTGAGACAGAGTCTCACTTTGCTGCCCAGACAAGAGTGAGTACCGTGGCGTCAGCCTAGCTCACAGCAACCTCAAACTCTCAAGCGATCCTCCTGCCTCAGCCTCCCGAGTAGCTGGGACTACAGGCTTGCGCCACCATGCCCGGCTAATTTTTTCTATATATATAGTTGGCCAATTATATATATTGGCCAACTTTCTATTTATAGTAGAGATGGGGGTCTTGCTCTCACTCAGGCTGGTTTTGAACTCCTGACCTTGAGCAATCCGCCAGCCTCGGCCGCCCAGAGAGCTGGGATTACAGGCGTGAGCCACCATGCCCAGCTGGAAAAGGTTTCTTGTTTACAAAGCTTTCTGGGGAAATGAATAAAGCAACTAAGGTCTTAAGCGGGCGTCCTCAAACTACGGCCCACGGGTCACATGCAGGTGTTTTTGACCGTTTGTTTTTTTTACTTCAAAATAAGATATGTGCCGTGTGCATAGGAATTTGTTCATAGTTTTTTTTTTTTAACTATAGTCCAGCCCTCCAACAGTCTGAGGGACAGCGAACTGGCCCCCTGTTTAAAAAGTTTGAGGACCCCTGGTCTTAAGAGATGCCAGGTCTTCTAAAGGAAAACCCAGCCCGAGAAAAGTCAAACTTAGAGCACAGTAATGGAAAGGGAGGAAACCCAAATTGTGGCGCGAGACTCACCTGGAGGGCTGGCGGGGCGTGCAGGTCGGGGCCTCACCCCGAGGTTCTCCATTCGTGCTCCTGGGGCGGGGCTGGCGCCTGCGTCTCTCACAAGCACCTGAGTGATCTCGGGCCCGCAGACTGAGAGGGAAGCTGTGATCTTACATAACATCACGGAAGAGATTCAGGGTGTGGCTGCTGTAAACGCCAGCTCCCCGGAGGTTTAAAAAAATGTAAATTCAGGAGATTTGTATTTATATCCATGTCCTAGCCCATTTCGTACAGCTATAACAGAACACTGAATAATGTGTAATGAACAGAAACGCATTGGCTCGCAGTTCTGGAGGCCGGGAAGTCCAACAACAAGGTCTGGCCCCTGGCGAGGGCCTCCTTGCCGCGGGACCCCATGGCAGAGGGACAAAGAGAGGGACAGAGAGAACGCGGAGCCCCGGTCCCTCCCGAAATAGCACGATAACGGCATCAATCCATTCCTGAGCGCACTGTCCTCGTGGCCTCAGCACCTCTTAAAGGTCCAACCTCTCACTACTGTTACAAAGGTCATTACATTTCAATGTGGGTTTTGCGGGGGACAAACACTAAAACCATGGCAACCGTCTTCTTCAGGGTCCAGCACCTGTGTGCCGTGAGGAGGGAGGGGCGCCTCTGTGGGGGACACTTCCCTTCCTGGCCGCCCCTCCCGCTCCGCCTGCACTCACTCAGCCAGTATACCTTGCGGGTTGCTGTTTTCCAGATGCTGCACCAAGAACTAAGGATACTTAGAGTCTCGGGTAGAAACAGACAGTGTCCCTGCCCTTGTTCTTAGGGACCTTCGTTCATTCATTCAACAAACGCTTACTGGGCTCTGACCACGGCCAGGCACTCTGCTCGGTGTTGTTGGAGACTCAGCAGTGAACAAAACAGACACAATTCCTCCCCTCTTGGCACTTACAGTCTAGCGGGTGAGAGTGACAGTTGGCAAACAATCACAGACTGCGGCGGTGAGTACTAATCCGTGCCACGTAGAAAATCCAGGGGAGGTGGGCGTGGAGAGCAGGGGTGGGGCCACTCAGGACGGGCAGGAGAGGAGGTGATTTGCGAGCAGGAATGAATGCAGTGAGCAGGTATTTAACGGAGGGCCCTGGCCTGACCTCACCTGGCCTGGAGGGGGCGTGGTGGCCAGTTCCTCCCAACCACTCCTCTCCTCAAGAGGTGGGGTCTAAGAAAATAATAAATAAATTAATAAATAAATAATAAATAAAATGAATGCACCAAAAAACAACAAAGAGAGGTGGAGTCTACTCGCCCTCCTGTTAAACCTGGGCTGCCCTTGGGCCTTGCTCTGACCCACAGAATGTGCTGGAAGGGACACTGGGATAGCTCTAGACCAGCTCTAGGCAGCTTCCAGTCTCTGCCCCTGTAGCCCTGAGCCCCCCACCTGAGAAGCCCACCTGAGAAGCCCACCTGCTACCCTGCTGGAGAGAGACTGTCTCCAGACTCCCACCCCTGCCCCCAGCCAGCTGAGCTACCAGACATAAGAGTGGAGCTATCTAGAAGATTCCAGCCCTGGCCAAGCTCCCAGCTGAATGCACCCAGAGGCACGGCCCCCGCCGACTCCACACAGAACAGAACCGTCCAGTTGAGCCCTTGCTGGGGGTGAATGTGGCTCACGCAGAGGTGAGAGCAGTGGGGGCGTGGGGAGACCTAGGCCAGTCAGGTTCAGTGGTGCAGGTGGTGTTTCCAGCGGTGCGACCCAGGGCTGGTCCAGGCCCTACTGAGCCGGGAGCCCTGGAGGAGCGGGAGGAGGGGATCTAGAGGATGATGGTGAGTTTGGGTTGCTGCTGCTGGTGCCAACCTCCTGCCTTCCCCAGGGAGCCGAGCCTCAGGGGGTGGGGGGTTGGGGAGCTGCCTGGCCACCGGGACTCACTGCAAGGCAAACAGCTGGACGCGATTCCAGCCCTCCTGCCCTCATGCAAACTGGTGGAGCCAATCCCTGAATCAGAGAGAGTCTACGGAGAAGGGATCTTCATGTCTGCAGGAAAAATATACGAAGTTGGCCCAGACGTTTTTTTAACATCACTATAAAGATTTGACCAAAATGCTAGGAATATGTCCCACCCCCACTGACTCCCCTGGTTGCTGCATTCCCCCACTGGCCTCAGGTGGGGCTTCCCCGCCCAGTCTTAGCGAGAGGCCCTAGCCCGCCACCCCACCTGCGCCCCACCTGGCAGGCTGGAGGGGCCCTGGGTGCACTCCCACCCACTCACCAACAGGTGGCAGCACTCTCAGGTCTGTCGCCCAGAAGCCTGCAAGGCCAAGACGGATTTTTCCCCGTGAGACCGGCAAAGGCCTCCCTCCTCTGCAGATGAGGAAACTGAGGGTGCTGAGGAAACTCTTCTAAGCCAAGCTACAGGGATTTCATTCCCACTAGGGTGCCGGGCTGGTGTTCTGACCCAGTTCCAAAGGCAACCAGACCCTCAACCCCCAGGGGGCATTTGGCAATATCTGGAGACATTTTTGATCGTCACAGCTGGGGTGCGGGGTGGTGCTCCTGGCATCTGTGGGGCGGTAGCTGGGGATCCTGCTGGACACCCTACACAGGGAAGGCCCCCCACAACAAAGGACTGTCTAGCTCAGGACAGGCCCATGCCTGCAATCCTAGCATTTGGGGAGGCCAAGGAAGGAGGATCACTTGAGGCTAGGAGTTTAAGACCACCCTGGGCAACATGATGAGACCCCGTCCCTACAAAAAATACAAAACAAAAATTATCCATGTGTGGTGGCACGTGCCTGTAGTCCCACTTACTCGAGAGGCTGAGGCAGGAGGATCCCTTGAGCCCAGGAGTCGGAGTGATGGAGGCCGCATCATGGTGATGCCACTGCACTGCAGCCCGGGCAACACTGCGAGACTCTGTCTCCAAAAGAAAAAAGAAATCGTCTGGCCCCAAATATCAACAGTGATGAGGCTGAGAAGCACTGACTCACTCAGATTCCCGAGAGTCAATGGCTGGGATCGGGCACTGAACGAGGCTGGTCCCGGCCCCCTCCCCCTCCCGCCCCTTCACCTGCCAGGAGAGGGCGCCACGGTCTCCTTCCCTCGCGCACCTGTCGCTGGGTCGTCCACAGCTCGGGGCAGCAGGCACGCACAGGCACAGCGCTGGCCTGGAGAGAACGTGGGGGGCGAGAGACGCTGCCCCTGCCTTCCTCCCCGGGGCTCAGGCTCAGGGGAGACAGCGTATCTGCAAACGTAAGTGCAGTGGTGGGGACGAGAAAGGGACAAAGACACAGAGTGACACAGACGGGACCAACCCTAACAAAGGCTGGAGCGGCCTCTGGAAAGGCAACGGTTGGGCTAAGGTCTGAAGAAGGAGCCGCCCCTTTTCATCAAAAAGACGATGTGGCCAGCACTGATGTGCATTTGTTTAAATTACCCCATCTTCTCCCCACACACCTACCGTGTTTCCCCGAAAATGAGCCCTACCCATAAAATAAGCCCTGGCAGGATCTCTAAGCACGTGCGCAATAGAAGCCCCACCCCGAACATCAGCCCTAGTGACCGGCGTGGCTGCGCAGCGCATCTGCACAACCCGCGCATGGCGTCGCGGAGCGGGAAAGACGACGAGCAGCCCTTCTCACCTGCCCCGTGAGAGCTCTAGCGCTCCACAGGAGAGATCGGGGCCAATAGCTCTAGAAGAAATAGAGTCGCAAGACAGTCAGGATGGCATTCGGGGTTTGGAGAGTGATGGTGATGTTCCAGAAGACGACGACTTCACTGCATTTGAATAAATGTAGATGGTTGTACTGTACTTAAAAAAAAATAGCACATCCCCTGAAAATAAGCCCTAGGGTGTCTTCTTGAGGAAAAATAAATATAAGACCCTGTCTTGTTTTCGGGGAAACCCGGAACCATCACTGCCACTCTGCTCTTCTTTGTACAATAAATTCATTTCCAGACTCTGTGTGTGTATTTCTACAGCGTTTCAGGCATCCTGCGAGCAGGCACGGGAGGGAGAAGGAGCAGCTCTTACTTACGTTAGAATTCCAGTTCATATTAACAAATGTAGCAGGAATGATGGAGACAGAAAACCGCCACTTGCCAAACAACACAGTAACTGTTGCAGGCAAGAGCCAGGACAGATGCTAAGATTAGTGAGCCAGGTTGTGAAAAGCAATGGGATATTGGCATAGTCTCAATATATTTCCTCACGAGATATTTAGTTAATTCCAAAGAGAAAAACAGCAGCTTTACAGTGGAGAGACCCGGCAGGTCCCCCCTCAACCTAGTGGGCAAAGTTAACAACACCAGGAAGGAGACCCAAGAGTGTCGTGTGCCTCCTGACACCGTCCCCCGAGAAAAGCACATCACTTCTCCAAACGCATAGCTTCAGTCTAATCGTGAAAATTACCAAACAAACACAAACTGAGTGACATTCACAAAATAACTGGCCAACACTCTTCAAGAAAGTGTCAGAACCATGAAAGACGAGGAAACTATCCCAGACTGGAAGAAACGAAACAGACATAACAACTGAACATAATGTGGGATCCTTGGATTGGAACCTCAACCAGGAAAAAGAACATTAGCAGGTCAAGTGCAGTTCTATTAAGAGCTGTAGATTAGTGAAGACCGGGCACAGTGGCTCATGCCTGCAATCCTAACATTTGGGGAGGCTAAGGAGAGAGGAGCATTTGAGTCCAGGAGTTCAAGACCAGCCTGGGTAACATTGCAAGACCTCATCTCTACAAAAAAATAGAAAAATGAGCCTGGTGTGATGGTACATGCCTGTAGTCCTTGCTAATAGGGAGGCTGAGGAAGATGGATCGCTTGAGCCCAGGAGTTTGAGGTTACTGTGAGCTAGGCTGACGCCATGGCACTCTAGCCCAGGCAACAGAGCAAGACCCTATCTCAAAAAAAAAAAAAGATCTATAATTAGTGAACTGTATTATATCAATGTTAATTCCTTTTATAGATCCTTGTACTATGGTTATATGTGATACTGACATTAAGGTAAACACAGTGAAAGTATATGGTAACTATTATTTTTTGCAATTAAAATTATTTCAAAATAAAAGTGTTCTTTTTCTGTTTCTTAAGGGTACTTACGAAACCACATCAGTGTGCCAGGGCCTGGGCCAGGGTCTGGGGCAATGCTAGATGCAGCCTCCACCCTCAAGGACTTACAAGGCATGGGGCTCCCAGACAACAAACACGGAAACAAACACATACGCTATATACGTGAAATAGTGAAAAGTGCAGTGGAGAACTAAAAGTGGGGAGCCGAACCGGGCCGTGACCCTAATTTAATTAGGATGAGCAGGAAAGGCCGCTGACATTAGAATCGAGGCCCGAAAGACCCCAGAGAGCAAACCCCAGGTGGGGCGACAGCAAGAGCAGTGGCCCAGAGGTGGGAGCACGCACGATTGCAATTTGGCACAAAGCCCGGCGTGCTGGCGTGGACCGGCAAGGGCGCGGTGAAGCCGGGAGACCGGGAGGCTGGCAGGGGCGCAGCCTGCAGGGTCTTGCCTGCCACGGGGTCAGGAGTTGAGACTTCATTTCTTGTCCAAATGCCATGACCCCTCCCTCACCCCAACTCCCCGCAAACATCACTCGGGATGTGATACGGACAGCATTGTTTGGAAAACATGAAAAGATTTTTGAAAAGAGGACTCAATTCTCCCAAGGCTTTTCTTTGTCCAACCTGCTAGAAAAACCTCTGGCTGTAAAATGTTCTAGAATGTGCTCTGAGTCTTTGCCTGGCTCAAACACATCCTTCGCCCATGAAGTCCTTTCCTCTTTTGCTAATTAGCCCATGTAGTTCTGCTTGGCATCAATAGGCGTCAAACTCTAAAGTTACCTTGGACACCAGAACCCGGAGAAAGAGTCAGTTAATAGCCATGCAGGTAAGCCAAGGTGTGCTTATGTTGACTTTTCAATATTATCATTGAGATAAAGACACAAAATGAACAAATGCCAGCAAAGGACTGTGGACCCCCGATGCAATGTCCATGGATCCTACTGCAAAGTCCCGATCACAGCGCTTTATTTACACACTCTCCGCTGCGGGGGTCACCCTGGCCTGCGCACCTCTGTCGGAGTGGGGAGCAGGTCCCTGCCAGGGAAGGGAGATGCTCTTTAGGAAGCCTTTGGAGCTCCTCCTCCCGCCCCAACCACCCTCCCTCGCGGGCAGGCAGAGGACAGGGAGCCAGCCTCTTGGTTTCGCAGCGATTCCCAGCCCTGGCTTCGCGGTGGTGGCACCTGCAGACTCTGACCACGCAGGGCCTCGCCCCACAGGTGTTCTCCCCCCGCCCTGGGCTGATGCTTAGGGCTGATGCTCAGGGCTGATGCTCAGGGCCGGGACCGGACACAGCCCTGGTTGCTATCAGCGAATTGGCCACCGGGTGGCGCCAGAAGACAGGCGACGAAGCGCGTCGGGCTGCCGTCGGGCTCCCAAACCTGCAGCCCCCTCGCAGCTCAGCCTCTGGCCGCTGGAGATTTAGAGGGTTTTTTCACCCTAGGAGCGAGGAACGTAGGCCCAGAGGCATTTCCAGATTTCCAGACTGCTCCGGGTGGGGTCTCGCTGGGGCTGGGAGGCTGCAGGGCATCCCAAAAGCAGTGACCCGACCCAGGCACGGGGCAGGTTCTCACGCACCTGTGAGCTGCCCACCAAGGAAACCAAGAGTGCCAGCACCCCCCTTTCAGGTGCAGGGGCTGCAGGAACCCCAAGATAGGGCCCTCCCAGGGCCTGGGGGCTGGGGGGTTCAGGTCCCTGGGTCCACGGGAAAGGCACCCCTCTTCTGGCAACCAGGGGGAGACCTCTGAGAGCAACTCTCCCATTTTAAAAGGAGCAATTGATTCCAATCTCTGCAAATGCCCTTTGAAGGAAAACCCGGGTTCCCCAGTTGTCTCCCCCCCAGTTGAGAAAGAGGAGTCACTCTAGGGGGTCATTTCTCCCTGTCGCCTTCACGTCCTAGAGCTGAGCACCCAGGCTGTGAGCCCCGTTAAATCAGGCACGAAATTCTACCTGTGCATTTTTTTCCCCAAGGAGGGGGTCTGTAACTTCCCCTAGAAGGATTAAGAATATAAAAGATTAAGAACTGTCAAAACAGATGGGCTATAATAAAGGAATGTAAAATACTCTGCTTGGGGTTCAGTTCATCTGTTCCGGAATAAACGCGCTCCCTCTGCTCACCCCTCACATTGGTCCCACTGAAGGGGAAACGCTGCCAGCCACTTCCCTGGTGGGTCAAGGACTTGGGGCCTCCGTACAGCGTCTCTGGTGGCCTGCAGGATCTGGGCATGATGGAGCTCACCTTGCTCAGGTGACTTCCTTCCTTGGGAGAGGTCAGAAAAGAGGTCACTGCTGAAGACTCCTTGGCCTAGTCTTTGCTGCTTCAGGCTGCTGCACGCAGTATGGGAGGGCCACAGACAGGAATCACGTACCCCAAGTAGAGTGGGGGCCCCCTCCCTCCGACCAGTGGGAAGGTGGACAACGGAGTCTGGGGCCAGGGAAGGCCAGCCCTGATGGCCAGCGTCCCAGCAGGGTGGAAAGTGCTTTTCCAGCGGTCCCAGGAGGGGCTGCTCAGCATGGGCCCTACGGCGGGGGTGTCGTGCCCCCACAGCCCGGAGGGGATGGGGGAGACAGGTGGAGGACAGCCCATGCGCCTCCTGTCACCAGGGAGGAAACCGAAACTCAGAGACAGGCGGCCTTGCCCAGTGTCACCTGGCAAGGGCCCTCAGAGCCCCGCCTGGTGCCCGGGCCTCCTGCCTTCCTCGCGCCGTGAGGGCCCAGCCCCCACCCCGGTGGTGAGCCGGCCGTGGGCGCAGGGCCCACCCAGGGCGGGCTG